TTGATAGGATTTAGCCTACCTCTAAATATGCAAATAACTGTTTGCTTTTGTGTACATTGTACATGTTAAGTTAAATGTAAAAATGACTCTCGTCTACAGCCAATAATGGTTTAAGTAATTTTACATCTATTTACATTCTTCTATCCAGAGCTAAAACATTTATCTCAGATTACTGCCAGTATCTCTTTATTCAAAGTGTTTTTAAATGGACCTGGGCTCTTCCAGGTGAAAATCTGGATACTGACTCTCAAATATTCCTACAAAATTTTACTTAGGCATTTACTGTACTACTATATACTGAATAGCCACTTGATAAAATTTAAACGTGATTCTATTTGCCAATCACGAATTTTTATATAGAAAAATCCTTCTAAAATTAAATGAATAAATAATTAAATAAAAATCCACATCTTTTTAATAAAAACATACAGGTTGCTAACTCTTCAAACTAGTGACAAAATGGATTTCCATAAACAAGTAAGATTACAAACACCATGTTTAAGGCCAATGATCAGCACATGTACTTTTTCATAATCTATAGATTCTGGTAAGTAAGGCTCTATTTTTCCTTATATTTTATTACACAATTACTATTGTCTTTATATTTCAGCTGCATTTTCTACCGTGTTCTAGCAAACAAAAACTCCAATGGTTTGATGAGCTTTTAACAACTGAGTGCCAATTTTCATATTATAAATTCTTTACTGAGGCATCCAAACTGATAAAGATTAAGAACCCAGTTCCACGTGAAAAACACAAATACAAGCATGTTCTTGATGTTACACTAAATTTAAATTTCACGCAGTCTGAATTGGGTACTATAGCAGGACTAACAAAGAGAAACAAAGTAGCAATAACACCAAATGCATGTATGAGGACTGCAGATTTGAGGAGTAAAAATACATCTGAGACCACTGCAGGAATAGTAATTATTTTGTGATCTCCTATTACTTCCATTAATTTAAACATCTTCCTCAATCCAACCATTATGAATGTTATTTAGCACAACCCTATTGATGGATGTATGCGAGATTTGAGGAGTAAAAATACATCTGAGACCACTGCAGGAATAGTAATTATTTTGTGATCTCATATTACTTTCATTAATTTAAACATCTTCCTCAATCCAACCATTATGAATGTTATTTAGCACAACCCTATTGATGGATGTATGCATTTCATCTTAACTTCCTTTCACCATCTGCCCTCTGGTGGAAGTGCTGTCCCTTGAGATTTGATCAAAGGGGGAGAAAAAAAAAAAAAAAAAAGGCTAATTGACAACCAACAAGATGTATCCCTGGATAATGGCTGAATAAATCAATATGGTTGTTAAATATTACCATGCCCATTTCTCAGGTGTAAAAGGCATTTTGTTGTATTTATTTTTCTCTGCCTGTGACCCCTGCCCCTAGAAGTAAAACACTTTCTAACTGGAAAAATAATAAATTTGCTAAAAAGTGAGAGAAGACAACGTAACAGTCAAGATGATAGAACAAGGCCTGGGTAATTAGCCAAATTTAATATATTTCCATCAAGCATTAAGCTTGGAAAAGAGTAAAATTTTAGAAACTGAGGCAGTGCATTAGGGTGGTCAAAACTAGAATTTTAATCTCAATGTTCACATAGTATCACAGGATCGACAATTTATGTCAAAGTTATGTTAATGTCACCATTTTCCGTTACTGCATTGGCAATGGAAGACTTCTCTTTAGGCGGTGCAAAAGGAGCCCCAGAAACTGTTTAACCGTTTCTGATTTTTAATCTGTACTGTTTTTGGAAAATGTGAAGGCTGCAGAGATATTTCCCATGTGATGCAATCACCCTGCCCCTAGAAGTAAAACACTTTCTAACTGGAAAAATAATAAATTTGCTAAAAAGTGAGAGAAGACAACGTAACAGTCAAGATGATAGAACAAGGCCTGGGTAATTAGCCAAATTTAATATATTTCCATCAAGCATTAAGCTTGGAAAAGAGTAAAATTTTAGAAACTGAGGCAGTGCATTAGGGTGGTCAAAACTAGAATTTTAATCTCAATGTTCACATAGTATCACAGGATCGACAATTTATGTCAAAGTTATGTTAATGTCACCATTTTCCGTTACTGCATCGGCAATGGAAGACTTCTCTTTAGGCGGTGCAAATGTAGCCCCAGAAACTGTTTAACCGTTTCTGATTTTTAATCTGTACTGTTTTCGGAAAATGTGAAGGCTGCAGAGATATTTCCCATGTGATGCAAATGAGGGTTTGATAGCTCCAAGCAGGAGACCCTCATCAATGTGAATCAGGTCCCCATGCAAACCTCTTCTCTCTGCATTAACAGGAATATCTACCTTCTTCTTGTGTTAAACACACCTCTGAGGTATTTCCCTGTGTATCCAAATCACTCACCAGTAATACTTTATGGAGTAAATAAATTTAGAAAGAAGAAATGCTCATTCTTCAAACGTGATGAGTTGAATCCAGGAGGAGGGGATGAATATCAGTCTCTTGGAGCTACATGTTACCTTATTAAGGGTTGGGGCTCTGTCACCCACTTTATTTATATATCCCCTCCCATGCTACCTTGCAGAACACAACATATTGTTTTGAAAACCATTTGCATCTCCCTA